CCGGATCCGGGGTGGGCGGCGCGCCCGGGGAGGGAAACGGGAAGGGCTGACTGGGGATAGGGACTGCAGGAAACCACCAGAGCAAGCTGGGGAGGAGCCGGCGCCGGAGCCTTCGGGACGGAGTGGGGAGCGATAAGGGGGCGAGGCCGCACCAAGGGGCTGGGGGGCCGTGATCCGAGGCTTCGGCGCCCGGCACCCAGAGCAGCCCTGTTCCCGGTCAATTAGGACCGGTCCGGGGCACCAGGCCCGCCGACTCGTCACTTCCTGGACCTCCAAACGCCCCTTGTGACGGGTCTTGTTCCTCAGGAACAAGCAAAGGTAAAAAAACAAACCCAACGCCTCTACTGGGCAGCTTCCGGCCTGTTTCAAACCAGGGTTCGTTCCTTTTTCTTTACGATTCATCTTGGTGAGCCCAAGCAGGGTTCCTTTTCCCCTCCAGGAGGAAGTTCGTTTGTCCCATCCTAGGGGACTAGACCCACTGCAGGGATCCCTGGGGAGCTGGCCGCCTCTTAGTCCCTAGGTGCCATGGGATCTATCCCTGTCTTGTTTATTCAGGAGACTGGTCACTTCTCTTAGTAAGAAATTTCAGCGGCACAACCTTTTTTTTTTCCACTGGACGGAAGGAGGGAGCCACATTCATTAAATTTAAGCGCCCACTTTCTAACTTATTCAAGCTGTCAGCTGTTCCTTCTTCAACCCCATGTTTTCGTAAGATCAGGCCTCCACAGAAAACCCAGCTTTTGTGGCATTTGGCTTTGCTCTTTGCATACTTTAGCAAACTTCAGGAATCCGCTAACATCAACAAAATTATCTTATGTGGTTACTGTTTTATTATTTATTCATTCCAAGAAAGCTTAGCCTGTTTCATTTAAGAAGCGAAGTTCAAGGGGCTGAATTATTTTAAGAGTAATTCTAAGTTGCACTATAACGCCTAAGCTTGCCCGTCAGGATCTCGAATTCAGTGACCTTAGCTCTTCCAGTAAAACTGATGTGAAACTCTTTTAGTTAAAATGTGTTAGTATTTGATAGATTTGCTGCTTTCTTGGCACATCCTGAAAAAGCAACAATTAAAATAATAAGGCAGAATGCAGTATGTGTTTTAAAAATAAGAGACAAAATAATACAACAAACCAGTCTGTAAAATGAGAGCATACTATGTTAGTCTACCAACAGGACAGACTTCAAATTCAATAGAAAACTCACTGCATGTGTATTTACATATGAACGTTCCCTTTTGCCTGTTGTTTGTTAAGGTGCTTTCCTCCAAGGATTTGATGATGTTCCTTGGAAACATTAGCAACAAGGTCAACATTATAAGCAGTCCTAGGAATAGTAATTAGGTTGTGTCATTTAATTAAAGTTAGGATTTGCCAAAAGAACAAGAGCAAGCCATTAAGACAAATTTTACACTAATTTCCATTGGTAAAGGTTTCTGTTACCTGACTCACAGAAAAAAAAAAAAATGAGTATAAAGGCAGTGAGATAGAAAATAGACCAAAATAGAAATGCTAGGTAGAGATGAAAGGAAGCACAATCCAAAAACATCATGTCCGTTCGGTCCTATATGAACTCAAAGCACCCTTTCCGTGGGTCTTTATAATGTCCCTTAGAGACAGCGAAGATTCACTTGAATCATACTCATAAGTGAGTTGGAAGGGACTCCAGCTAACTCCTAGCTGTAATTCAGGCCAATCTCCCACCCACTCAACTTTCCCCAGGATAGCATCCCATTCCGTAATGTAGACCTCCAGGCTCCACTTTGAATCGCTCAGTGGCAGAATTCACAAGGCCACTAAATCTTTTGTTGAATAGTTTTATTTATTTTTTTCTGATAGGGTCTCCGTCTGTTACCTAGGCTGGAGTGCAGTGGTACAGTCTTGGCTCGCTGCAGCC